TTTTTTTTTTTTTTTTTTTTTTTTTTTTTTTTTTTTTTTTTTTTTTTTTTTTTTTTTTTTGAAGGAAATTTGAAAAGAAAGAAAGATTTTGACGACCAGATATTGACAATGATGATAACTGCAAGAACATCATCATATCAAAGACTTTTCAAAAGCCCTGAAATTGCTTAGTTGGACATCAGAACTCCCACAAATAAATAAATTAAATTAAATTAAATTAAATTAAACATTTATGACGTCATAAAAAAAATTCATCAATAGAAAAAAAGATGCTTCAAAGAGTCCATCAGAGAGACAGTCCAGATCAGCTAAAATGACCAATAATGGATTCAAAGACCAACAAGTGAGCCAAGGACAGTTTCGTCACATGGCCTACACTAATTGGTCGGACGACACGATTAGTTACCTCGAAAATATCCCTAAACTAATCACGGTGTTAGTTTTTTAATTCAAAAGTGTTAATATCTAATTCTAACACATGTATAAACAAATACTCGTATTAGGGTGAATCGATTCAGACCATAGATTAGTTTTCAATCGGGTTGAAAACTGTGCTTAATTCTCAAGAGGAATCGTCATCGTGAGTCGAGTCTGCATTGCCATACGAATGTACATCCGCCAGTTCAAGAGCTCCGACTTTCATCAATATATTGCACATGTATGGAGATTATAGGTATTCCCCGTGCCCAATATACTGCACTTTTAACATGTTTTTTAAGAATATTTTCAGGAGGTTGCCTTGTCCAGACAATTATTTTTAAATCTTTTTTAATTATTTTATTCTTAGGATTGCTCTCATTTAGATATGATCACAGAAGATATTAAATCTACGAGCTAGTTGAGAGAATAAATCTTTACAGCAAAAACAACAAACGAATAAATTACTCGGCTTTCTCTTGCTTCCTCTTCTGCCGACATCCATCAAACAAGCAATTTTTTTATTTTTTTAGAAAAAAAAAGAATTTAATTTTTTTTTTTAATTTTTTAAATTTATTTTTGCTTCTCGAGATTCAGGGCTATGAAAAGGAAGAAGAAACACGAGAAGAAGACGAAACAAAACTACATAAAATGATTAAAAAGATTCTCAAAATCCCATTCGTAATATATGCCTTTGTTTCCTTTTGTTTGGAGATGTTATTAAAGTAGTGGGATCACATGACAGGACCAGTAATTACGCCTTACGCTACCTGGAAGATTCTACCTTGGTTGGATCGAGAAACGAAACATTTTTTTATAAGAGTATGAAAATCTCTCTCTAGTAGATGACATTTTAAAATCGTGAGACTAACGATGATACGTAATGAGTCAAAGCAAATAATATCTACTAGTGATGAGTTTGAGTTGTTACAAATAGTATTAAAGTTAGACACTAGGCTGTATGCCAATGAGGACGTTGGCCTTCAAAGAGGGTGAATTGTGAAATCTCATATTAATTGTAGAGGGAAACGAAGTATTCCTGATAAGGATGTGGAAACCTCTCCTAAGTAAACGCGTTTAAAAATCGTAAACCTGAAGCGATATGTAATTGGTCAAAGCAGATAATATCTATTAGTGATGAGTTTGGGTTGTTACAAATAGTATCAGAGCCACATAACGAACAGTGTGTCATATCGGTTGGAAAGGGGAACGAGACATTCGTTACAAGGATGTGGAAGTCTCTCATTAATAGACATGTTTTAAAACGGTGAGGTTGATGACGATACATAACGAGCAAAAACAGACAATATCTACGGTGTAACGACTCAAACTAACCGCTAGTAGCTCATTACATATCATCGTCAGATTCGTAGTTCATAAAACGTAGAATATTTCAAGTTATCTTTAACGGGTGAAATTTGAGTAGAAAATTTTATTATAATTTTAGAAGAAAAAAAAAAGTGAATTGGATTTTGAATATAAAAATAATATTTGAAAAGTCTATAAGAAGGCAATATAACATGAGGTACGTGGATGAGTGGCAGCTAGCCCATTGGAGAAAGATTCAAAATTCAGTGTCTTTTTCAACCCAAAAAATTAAAAAGGGTTTTTTTTTTTTTTCCCCTTTTTTAACCCATTTGGTCAATTGGAGGTGAAAAACAATGGGTGAAAAAAAGGGAGATGAGAAAATTACAGTGATAATAAGAGAAGTGAATGAAGAAAGAGACACAGAAATGGTGGAAAAACTGGAGAGAAGCTGTGAAATTGGGTCTAAATTAGGAGGGGCATCCATTTTTACCGATATGATGGGCGATCCTCTTTGTAGGATCAGATTCTACCCACTTCATATTATGCTGGTCGGTTCCATAAAATCCATTATATAATCATTCTTTACTGTCTTTTTTTTATTATTTATTTATTTATTATTATTATTATTTTATTTATTTTTAAAACAGGTGGCTGAGCTGCCGGAAAAGGGCGACGTCGTGGGAGTGGTTAGAGGCTGTATTAAGTCTGTGGGGACTGGCGGCGCCGCCGCCGGAGAAGCTAATACCACGAGGATTGGTTGCATATTGGGGCTTCGTGTTTCGCCTGCTCACAGGTAATAAATATATAATTTAAATCTAATAACTTATTCTTTAATTAATTATTGATTTTAATTCATTCACAAAATTTTAGTCGGTGAAGTATAAATAAATCTCTCTCTCACTCTCTTTATTTAAAATTATTATAAAGTGTTTCTCTCGAGTATTTTTCAAAATCTCAGTATATTATCTAATTAAACCGTATGAAGCTATTATTATTATTATTATTATTATTATTATTATTATTACTATATTATAATTTAGTAGTGTAATTAATTTGTATTTCTATAGATTTTTTTAATAGTTGTGCTAGACTTAGGTCATAATTATACTATTTTGAAAAATATTTTTAATTGGCCAAATTTTTTTTTCTTCGCTATTTTAATAAATTCTTTAAAATTTATATTTTAAAGTGTTTTTAGATAACTAAAAATTGTTTAAAATTTAGAGCATGATTCTACCAATTAAAATCTTTTTGTAAAATTTCCTAAGTGGTTTCATTTAAAAAGTTGTAAAAAAAAAAAGTATTAATTTTCTCCGAACAAAATACTTATATTACAAAAATTTCAAATAAAAAGACTTGTTTTATAAACATAATACATCAAATCGTGTATAAATTTGAACTATTCTATATCTAAATTTTTCAGAGCTTCTCACTTTATTTATTTAACGTTGTAAATAATAATCTATTCATTGATCTATGAGATTCCGAAATGGATTTTGGTAATTTTTTTTTTGTTGAAATTTTAAAATTAGCATTAAGTCCTTGAACAATTTCAAAACTGGAGCACATTTAAATCTAGAGACATAATTGCAACTTATCTCAAAAGTTGGAGGTATTTTGTATTATGAGATCCCACATCGGTTAGCGAAACATTCCTTATAAGGATGAGTAAATCTCTTCTTAGTAGACGCGTTTTAAAACCGTAAGGCTGACAACAATACGTTGACCAAAGCAAATAATATTTGCTAGTGGTGGACTTGGACTTGTTACAAATGAATCTTATTATTTTGAAGTCAAACAATAACACGTAGGACGTCAGGATTCTTCGAACCTCTTAACTAGGTGGAGAGAGCAATATATATGCGCACATGTTGGCTCTAACTATTCATTAAATTAAATTAAATGAAACAATTTTTGTGATGATATTATATTTATGTTAATATTGGTGTAGGAGGTTGGGAATTGGACTAAAGCTAGTACACTCAGTTGAAGAATGGGTAATAAGAAATGGAGCTCCCTATGCATTTCTAGCAATAGAGAAGAAGAACAAAGCCTCAAAGAATCTCTTCACTCGCAAATGCAACTATGTAAAATTCAGCTCATTAGTGATATTCAGAAAGCCAATTGTGTTCCCAACAAAAGACATCACTAATGGGGAAATAAAGACAGAGAAACTGAACATAGAGCAAGCAATATCATTCTACACAAACTGTCTCACAGCTAAAGGAGTTTATCCAATGGATTTTGATGTGATTTTGAAGGAAAAACTGAGTATTGGCACATGGGTTTCTTATTTCAATCAAGAAGATTGGACCCATTTGATTTGTTCAGAGAAGGATTCAGAGATTTACCAGAGAATGCCAAGCTCTTGGGTGGTGTTTAGCATATGGAATACCTGCAAGGCATATAAGTTTCAGATAAGGGAATCAAAAAAAGATGAATTATTGTTACCTCTAAGGTTCTTGAAAAGTGCAAGAAAAAAGTTCATTTCCTGCTTCAAAATGCCAGATTCTGTGTCGTTTGGGAAGTCATTTGGATTCTTCTTCCTGTATGGGATATTTGGGGAGGGGGAGAGAGTTGGAGAGCTTGTCGAGTCGATATGGCTTTTCGCTTCGAGATTGGCTGAAGAAGAGAACGACTGCAAGGCCATTGTCACCGAACTATCTGTTTCTGATCCAATCATAAACCACGTCCCACAAAACAATAAATCCATGTCTCGCATCAACGATAACTGGTACCTGAAAAGATTGAGTGTACAGAGTAGTGATGATAAAAGGGATGAAATGTTGTTGTCAAAGGATATGGAAGCAGCTGCAAATGTGATTGTTGACCCCAGAGACTTCTAGATTTCAATATCTATTCATACCTCGTTTTGCTCCTTTTTCTACATCAATCTTCTGTTCAAGATGCTGACAGCAAAATTAATGGTAAAGACCAAGTTTAAATAGTTCGTAAAACAAGATGATTAGAACTCATTAAAAATTGCAAGTAAAGGTTGAGAATTGAAACTAAACAATGATTAAAAGTGCTCATAACTCAGGATTCAAACACTACATTGTACTAGAAAAACAGCTAAAATCTAGGCCATTGAAAAACCTTAGCACACGACAAGAAATTGTTCTTCCAGCAACGGTTGGTTAAGGAAAAATAGCATTGCTAAATGCGCATTGACTACAAGAAGTGCTTTCTTCCTTGATCCTTTGTAGCTATATAACAATTTTCTGAATAATTCTACAGTGAGGGAAGCTAGGACTTACAGCACATCGCTTCCAATCAGAAGCTTTTTCTCTGGAATGAACTATAAGCTCCTGAAATGGATTTGATACACTGGCACAAAATTGTTTGAACTTGCTGTGATCGTACTTTTGAAGAAATTCTTACCAGATAGTTCATTAACACTGGCTTGTATCCTTCACAATCTGGCAATTATCCTGAGGATGTGAGATCCCACCTCGGTTGGAGGGGGAACGAAGCATTCCTTATAAGAGTGTAGGAACCTCTCCCTATCAGACGCAAAGCCAGACAACGGGCGTTGTGGCAGTGAAGACACTAGGCCCCAAAGGGGTGGATTGTGAGATCCACATCTATTCTATGAACAGATTTATCTAATTATGAATCCATCAGTCTTAATTATATGACTAATTATGGAGAGGGGAACAAAACATTTCTTATATGGGTGTGGAAACCTCTCCCTAGCATACGCATTTTAAAACCGTGAAGTCTTGTGCAGGATGATTTGGATGATTCTGTTGTTTGGCTCTGTTAAACATCCAACTTTGATAGTTGAAGCAAACTCAGTTTCAGTTTCAGTTTCAACCACATTGTTACCAGAAGTGGAGGCAGCCGAGTCGTCTATGCAGGCGTTTCGAGTGCCTCCATCTGCTGTTCAAGGTGTGGTGAATGGTTCTTGCTCCAGCATCCACAGTTTGTCTCTTTTTGCTGTCTAGTGCTGGGTCAATAACCTCTAACAATCCCATAATCCATGAAGCATCATCCACAACTTCAGTTCACTGTTGCAAAACAACCTTCACTTTCTTATCCACATAACAAACTCAAATTTCAAAAGCTTATAATCATAATCAGCATCACTTGTTCAAAAGCTTCAAAAGTCAAGCAGCCATTTCAATATCAAAAAGTGATCAAGTTAAAATTACAGTTTGAGCTGATGTAGTGTAACTGAGGTTCTGACCTGCTGGAAATAGAGATTTCGAATTTCCTCGACATGGATTGCTTTCCCTTGATCCTGTTCCAATGCTGCCCATGTCATCCATGTTACGTAACTCTGAGAACTTATGTTTAGAGACGATCTATATGAAGTAAAGCAATCCAAGTAAGTAATATTTCGACTCCAAGCCTGAGTAAAGATTCTTGAACTTTAAACTACGGTTCTGTATGGTACTATTTTTGGTTCAAATCTCATTTTTTGTTCTCGCTCCATTTTTGGTCTCAGAACTTTTAGAATGTTCATTTTCGTACTTGAACTCTCAGTTCTATCTTATTTTAGTCCTTAAACTTTAAAATTATAACTATTTTGTTCCTAACCTTTTACTTAGTTTTTAACAAATTGATTATACAACTTCGAATATGTATTTTAGCATGTTAATATGAGCATGATTTCAAACCATAAATCGGTGAGATGATATTAGATGCATGTTAATAAATCGGAGCCCTAAACCTGCCAAATGAAGGAGTCTTTTCCAATGCCTCCTCCGACGCCTCTCTGTTCACGCCGTCCGATGATCGATCGGCGACGAGAACCACCGTTGAGGAGCCTCTGGAAGAACGGAGATGGAATTGTGAGCGGAATGGAGGGGAATAGTGGAGATATTTCATCTGTAATTCAATAGATTGTAAGGATTTTGAGAGGAAGAGATGAGATTGAAGGAGAAGAAGAGATGAGATTGATTACCGTCTGATTTTGCTTTCGAAGGCGCTCTCCGGAGAAGAAGAAGAAGAACGGAGACTAAATTACGATTTTAACCTTCCAAATGTACTGCCGATACGGCTTTCTGTCGCGGAAGAAACGAAAGGGTATTTTCGGTATGTTGTGGGCTAAAATGTGACTGGTACTATTTTCCACGTGGCGGTCATTGAAGTGGCTCGGCACTTTTATCCTTGCTTATTTTTTTACCACGTGGAGGAAATTTGTTGGTTTGGTTTTGTGGATTTCTGATATTCTGCCGATAAATATCCGATACCGAATTAGGAACCGGATCCGATTCTAAAAAAAAAAAAAAAAAAAAAAAGAAAGCTGCCACCGAGTCACTCCGGTTCAGTGAAATTAATTTTTATTTAATAGTAAAAAAAATTAAATTATAATTTTTTGATTGAAAATATGTATTTTTTAACTTAAGTAAAAATATCATTTTTTTTTCTTTTTTATGAAAAATGTATTATCTCCTTTTATTCAAATTATGTCTTCATCTATAATTCTAAATAATAATAATAAAAAAATCCATTAACTATGTACTTATTTTATTTCTAGACTAGGCTACGTCTATACGAGCGAATTTTCTATCGACAATGCAACATATCTGTTTCGATTATAGAGGCGTGTTAATCTGGCACCTAATCCTACAAGTCAGGGGTGGGTCAACCATAGGTTCAGTCCAACTCCTATCAAAACTCCAATCAATAATTAGGGGTGGCTTAAGAGATGCTAGCATTGACGAGAAAGAAAAAGTCACATCTTATGACCCGCTCGAGTTACTTTATTTAAAAAATAATACTTTAAAATTTCAATAATATATATAATTTTAAATGGAAACTGTCCGTGTTCATTTAAAAAAATAAAAGCTTTTAAAAGAATTTATAAATATTTTAACTGAAAAAAATTTAAAAGATACTTTAATATAAAAGATACTCCCGAAACCTCTTCAAGCCCTAATTGAACCAGACTAGCATCGTCATCTACGTCCACGACTACTTCACCAGACGAATCGGCGGGAGAAAATGACCGGTGACCGGTGACGGAAGGGCCGAGGGTGGAGTCGAGAGAGATCGGGAGGGCTCAAGATATGTACATAAACTCTCAATCGGACGGGAAAGGGCTGTCTATGGTGTTCCCGGTAGTTTTCACCGGCGGCGAGTTCTGAGGGAGTAGCTTGGAGGTTCAGGGCTCCGATTTATCCACCATGAACGCAATTTGGAGTCGTTTCTGGAACTGATTTTTTCCGGTTCTACGTTGGTTGGAGGGTTGGAGAGTGGAGCGAAACATTCCTTATTATAAGAGTGTAGAAACTTTTCTCATAGTGGACACGTTTTAAAACCGTGAGACTGTATATGTAACGGGCTAAAGCGGACAATATCTACTAGCGATGAACTTGGACCGTAACCAAAACAAAAATTGAGACCTAAATGATGTCAGATCGTTCTAGGTCAACGCCACACTCAACTTAGACATTTCTTCTTAAAAGTTAATCACTGTTTCTAGTCAACATTGTCTCTAATCATTTCAAGTCAACACCGTCTTGATAGAAAGTCGACTTTCTTTTCAAAAGTTGAGTTTCTACATCTTTAATGTCGAGAAAACTATAAAGTCATAAACGTTAATAAATCAAGTACAAAAAGAAATAAGTGAACTTATACATAACCTAAGTGTAACACTTCAAACCCATTGCTGGCAGATATTGTCCACTTTGGCCGGTTATGTATCGTCATCAACCTCACGGATTTAAAACGCATTTGTTAGGGAAAGATTTTCACACCCTTATTATAAGGGATGCTTCGTTCCCCTCTCCAACCGATGTTGGATCTCACAATCCACTTCCCTCGGGTGCCCAATGTCCTAGCTGACATACCGTTTGATGTCTAGCTCTAATACCACTTGTAACAACTCAAACCCACCGCTAGCAGATATTGTTCGCTTCAGCCCATTACGTATCGTCATCAGCCTCACGGTTCTAAAACACATATGTTAGGGACTCATAATCCACTTCCCTTGGGGACTCAACGTCCTTGCTAGCTTACCGTCCGGTGTCTGGCTCTGATATCACTTGTAACAACCCAAGCCCACCGCTAGCATATATTGTCCGCTTTAGCCCATTACGTATCGTCATCAGCCTCACAGTTCTAAAACACATATGTTAGGGACTCATAATCCACTTCCCTTGGGGACTCAACGTCCTTGCTAGCTTATCGTCCGGTGCCTGGCTCTGATATCACTTGTAACAGCCCAAGCCCACCGCTAGCATATATTGTTCGCTTTAGCCCATTACGTATCGTCATCAGCCTCACGGTTCTAAAACACATATGTTAGGGACTCACAATCCACTTCCCTTGGGGACTCAACGTCCGAGCTAGCTTATCGTCCGGTGTCTGGCTCTGATATCACTTGTAACAGCCCAAGCCCACCGCTAGCATATATTGTCCGCTTTAGCCCATTACATATCGTCGTCAGCCTCACGGTTTTAAAACAAGTCTACTACGGAGAAATTTCCACACTTTTATAAGGAATGTTTCGTTCCACTCTTCAATCAGTGTGGGATATCACACTAACTGATTAAAGACACATCAAAAACCAAGTGTTGTGTCGGGGCAAAGGGCAAAGGACGGGACAAGAAATAGCTCCAAAGATACTATTTTGACGAATAAATTACCCGCACGTCTTAGGTTATTGAAACTGATTGGGCGAGTCGGATTGCCATTCCAAATCCTCTTATCTTTATTTAGGGTTTTGGTTGTACGAGGCTGGATGATTCTTCACCTGCCCACCTTTTTATCTCCAATTAGTCAAACTCAAGCATGCATGGTCCACATCACTACACAAATTATTGACCACAAACTTTATTCACAAGTCTCCTTCGTGTTGTACTTTAGTTCTTAGCAATGCGTGCTTTACAAGCAT